GTACTGGTTGTAGGGGGCACACTGGAGGCACTAGTTGTGGGGGCACACTGGAAGATTGTAGGGGGGCACACTGGAGGCACTGGTTGTGGGGGGGCACACTGGAGGTGCTGCCCTACCCCGGCAGGGCACCTGCCGGGGTAGACTCCCCTTCACTGTCGGTGGGTATCGGTAATATCGGTAAATTTAAGACTGATGCCAATTATTTAAAAAGGTGTTAATATCGGCCATAATAATGAATAGATCCGATAATCGCTCGAACCCTACTCTGTATTTCCCTGTGTATTTCCCATTCAGGTAAATTCGAAAGCACATTTATTTGACAAGAGGCTGTAGTCCCGCTAAGAAGCTCTGAAGCTCATGTGATGCATTAGATCAGGGGTAGGCAACATTAGCACTGCAGCTGTTGTGGAATTCCCATGAGGCATTGCAAGACACAGACAGCCACAGGCATGACTCCCGGAGCCAGACGCATAATGGTATCTGTAGTTTCACCACAACTGATGTGCCTACCCCTGCACTAAGCAATGTAAACCTTGCAAAGTGAATGTGCTTGTTGCCTGGTGTGTTCACTTTAAGTATGGACATCCCCTTTAAGGCAACATTGTGAAGGGTTTGGTTCTAAGTGATTACAAAACAGCAGCGGTATGGCAGCTGCGAGCTGGCACACAAAGCTGCGCTCTGCTTATTTTGGCTGACTCCGGCGACCTTTGGCTTTTCCTAGTAGTACTTGGATACAGCAGTAATCAGGATTTCTGACAAGATAGATTCAGAGAGCGAGGAATGCACATCACGAACAGTATGAGCGGCGCGATGGAGGGGGGGGAACGTTGTCGACTTGTAAGCACGAGGTAGGATCATTGCCCAAACTTCCTGCAAGATATGTCAGAATGAGGACGATTGATCGTTAGGAAGGAGACAGAGAGGCTGTCAGGCGGCCAACATTGCCCTTACGAGCAGGGGGAAGATTTTCCAGAATAAAATTTGGATTGTCAGCTCCTGAGGCCAAATTTCTGCTGGTCTTAAAGGATAAGTGCACTTAAAAAGAAAGTGCACTTGTTTTTTGTACCTCCGCACCGCACCCCACCCCTGACCTAACATATCCCGACCTGAGCTCAGAAACCTGGAGCCCTGCTTGATTTGGGGCCCTATTCACACCTTCTAATGGGGCCGATCGCTGAGCCTCATTAGTTCCTCTGTGAGGCGCAAGCCATCTCCTGCGGATGGGAAGCGAAGTAAAAACCAATGACTGTAATCACCTGCGAATGACTGTACCTGGACGCAGACCATTTGTGTCCAGGTGCGATCATTCGCAGGTAATTGCAGCCTGTGTGTTTACATGTGAACAGCTGAGGGCGGTGACAGCTGTCAATGGATTACACATCGCCTCCCGCCCACATCTGTCTCACAGAGGAATTCGCAAGACTTGTGCAATCGGCCCCATTCGGCAGCTAAAGGAATCCCAGGTGTCGTCATTCAGATGTGACCGCAGTGCCCATTGCACCTGCATGTCCCGGGAATCGGGAGATGGGAATTCCACACCCCTGCTTCCCCTCTACTCCTTGCTGCCCCAAGGCCGGGCCTTTTGGGAAATCCGGCCCTGCCCATTGAAGTTATGATGACTTATGCAATCGGCCCCATTTGCAGGCAGAGTACAGTGACTCGTGTTAGGCCGCTCTTATGCATCTTACAACCTCTAGAGAGACCCGAAATGAAGATTGAGAAGAAATCAAAGACAAAGCTGCACACTAAGGGGTTCATTTATAAAAGTTCCACCCGTCTATACTCGCATGGCACTAGCTCCCCTAGATGGCACTGACGAGTATAGGAATAGGAAGCTTTTATAAATGAACCCCTTTAACTTAAAGAGCCCGGAATGTATTTATACCCTAATATAAGGCACAATTCAACACATTTTGGGGGTTCTGAGGGTCCTTCATCAGCGCTATAGAGATGGAAACAATACATGTATTAATGTATACATAGTTAATATTGCTATCACAAAAGAACCCATAGCTGGGTTTTTAGCAGATTAAGGCCTCATTCACACGAGAAACAGCCGACACGTACAGCACCTTGCTGCGTGCACGGCCGTATCGGGCAGCTCCCAGAAAGGACAGGTGCTGTCCCATAGAGAAGGGCAGCCCCTGTCCTTCTCCTCTATGGGACTAGGCGGCCGTACGCCACCCTATGCTCACCCCAAGTGCAGGTCCGTACAGGGGTGGGTGTTCCGGCTCGGACGCAGACAGAATCCATCCTGTCAGCCTATGAGTATGGACACCCGCACGGACGTGCAGGGCGGATGAGTGTAGGTTGGCGTACGGTTGCATAGTCCAATAGAGAAGGACAGGGCCTGCGTACTAATCACACACAGCACCTGTCCTTCCCGGGAGCTGCCCGATATGGCATTGCACGCAGCACAGAGCTGTACGTGCCGGCCGTTTCTCGTGTGAATGAGGCCTAAATGTCAACTTTAAGCTGCCCAGGAGGGCTAAATTAAAGAAGAACTCCAGGAATTGAAAAAACATACCCTTGCAGTGGGCTACCACCGCACTGCAAGGGCTAAGTGCTCATTTTGTCTAAGGGGGGTCAAATAAAGCATATATACTCACCTGATACTCTGGGCTGCTAGACCGGTCTCCGCAGCCTCTTCTCCCCTTGGCTCCGGTGGTCTAAGGACCTGTGACACCATTGCTTCTTAAGCAGGTCTGTTGACTTGCATTCGATGTGAGGATGCCGAGGGACATTCCATAGCCAGGGACCAAAAATCAGGTGAGTATATCTGCTTGATTTGATCGCCCTAGGCAAAATGAGCACTTAACCCTTGCAATGCCGGGGTAGCCCCACAGCAGGGGTCATTTTTTTAAAATTCCCTCCCAGGAGTACTTCTTTAAAATAAATGGGTGTCTTTGCCCCGCGTGGACACAGCACAGTTATGTCCTCTAAATCTATTCTGGTTTCTTGAACTTCACACACCCAGAACACAGTCCACACTCTGTCCTGAAGCAAGCAAATCGCTTTAAACAGCCTGAACGGGCAGTTACAAGTCATTTACTCATCTGCTGCCAAAACATCTACGAGCTCCGTTAGAGAAAGAACACGTTGAAACAGTCTGTCAACGCAACCCTAACTAAGATGGCTGCCAGCTCTCTGCACATCTGATACCACACCGGAACCTGCAATGTTCAACGGTTAGGAACCTCCAAAAGGAGTGAAAAAAACGAAACTTTCCAACCTTCTTTTAGGTTCTGTTTATGGAATTCTATCAAATCTGACATATAGGAGATCCCACCTTGAAGTAACTTACGTCAGGGACTAGCGGTCAGATTTGCTAAGTACCAACAGGGTCATTTGTCTTTAGCCGCAGTGGTTGAAGAAATGTCAGCACCGGCAGCACCACCTATCTCAGAATGGCCCAATGTGGTTCATATAGAGTTAGTGGGCAGGTGAAGGTTAGGATTAGGGTCCAAGTTTAAGGGTTAGGGTTTAAGGCAAGAGTTCTCAAATGAGGTTTCTAGGGTTCCTCCAGAGGTTTCTAGAGCTGTGGTGGGTTCATCTTTCTCCTACAAAAACTACCAATGTAAGGGGGCAACTTTCCACTGACATCCAATATATGGTATCACTTGTGCAGTGAGCACCAATGTAAGGGGGTACTACACTGAGCACCAAAGTAAGGGGGCTTTTCCATTAATTACCAATGTAAGGGGGCATTACACTGAGCACCAATGCAAGGGGGCATTACACTGAGCACCAATGTAAGGGGGCATTACACTGAACACCAATATAAGGAGGTACTACACTGAGCACCAATGTAAGGGGGCTCTACACTGAGCACCAATGTAAGGGGGCACTACACTGAGCACCAATGTAAGGGGGCACTACACTGAGCACCAATGTAAGGAGGCAGTACAGTGAGAACCAATGTAAGGAGGCAGTACAGTGAGAACCAATGTAAGGGGGCTTTACAATGAGCACCAATGTAAGGGGGCTCTACACTGAGCACCAATGTAAGGGGGCTCTACACTGAGCACCAATGCAAGGGGGCTCTACACTGAGCTCCAATGTAAGGGGGCACTACACTGAGCACCAATGTAAGGGGGCTCTACACTGAGCACCAACGTAAGGTGGCACTACACTGAGCTCCAATGTAAGGGGGCACTACACGGAGCACCAATGTAAGGGGGCATTACACTGAGCACCTATCTATCTATCTATCCATCTATCTATCTATCAATGAGCAATCTATGATTGCTCAGATTCCTCCATCCACGCTAGACAGATAGTAATACAAAGGGGGATGGGTGGCAGTGGGGGTGGGGGCTAGTAGAGCAGGGAAAGTAAGTAAAGTGGGTGGAGCACAGAACGTGCAGAATTTGCCCCGAGACCCTCGGGGCAAATGTGTATGTGTGCCCCTACAGAAGTTCCCCTCTGGGTTGTGGCCATATTAAATACTCATCTGCCGTATGCAGAGCTGCCAACCCATGCAACTTTTTGCTGCAGAACCAGAGAAAGTAAAAAGGCAACATTTTTTTTATTTTCAACTGCTGATTACTCTGCAAAGACTTCATGCAGTTCAAAGAGATCTGTCATCATCAGCATAGGATATGGATATCAGTTCAGTAATTCGACATATGAATAACTTGTGTAGAAACTGTCAGTGCCCAGCTTCATATCTTATTGTACTCCAAACTTACCACTGCTGATTACTCCGTATTGTCAGTGTGAATATTAAAGGGACCTGTCACCAACATAATTGCATTTGGACACTTAGCAGTTCACTAATTTGACAATAGCGTCCACTGTTGCAAAGTCAAAGAATGGTAATGAAAGTGTGTCCAAAATAAAGCAGATTTTCCACTGCCGATTCATAAGCAATGGCAGAATAACGGTGAAAGAGCCTTCTATGTTACGCGGCGCTGCCATCGAGCTCCATTTGCCAGTTGTGACCGATTCATTTTAATTGCCGTTCCGCAAGTGATCCTTTTACTCTGTTTACGTTGCAGGTACCTTGCAAAACTGTCGTCGGTGGGCAGCATTTCAGAAGAGGAGACTTGTGAGAAGCTGAAAGGATTAATCCAGCGCCAGGTGCAGATGTGTAAGAGGAATCTGGAAGTCATGGACTCCGTCAGGCGAGGGGCTCAGCTGGCCATCGAGGAATGTCAGTATCAGTTCAGGAACCGACGGTGGAACTGCTCCACACTGGACACGCTGCCCGTATTCGGGAAGGTGGTGACACAAGGTAACAGAACAGCCCAGAACATCCTGCTGTGTTCATGCCTGATAAAGGGTCTGTCCACCCAAAAATTATATTAGATGCTGGGAAATTAAAGGGCGTGTCAACCCTAATAATACATTTCTCTTATTGGATCCCTTTAAAAAAAAAAAAAACAGCTTTGGCTGCAATATTCACCATCAGTCCAGAGATTCCCCCGCAGTACTTGTTGTCTGCCACTAGATGTCCTCAGTCTGATGGCCAGCATTTCTTTTTTTTGGTGTTTGGATGCCCCTTTAAACCACCTGACAGGTCCTTCTATCTCTGGGAGACTTTTTTGATGAGAACCCACTTCCTGTGAGCCCAGCTGTGACTGCACTGTGAAAGGAGAAGCAGCACAGAGATGACCTCTCTGTCACTGCTCTCTCCTCCTATCGATATGCTTCTTTTCAGCACATCAACTGATTGGCTCCCTGTGCTGCTTCTTTCTCTTACACTCTGCTCTCCAGGGGCTGCAAGGGGCTGATACCAGGGTAACATTCAGATACTTACACTGCCCCCATGTTAATAAATGGCGAGCTGCTTTTCATTTGTGTTTTTGGTTATCTGCCGGGAGTTTAGCTTTTAAAAAATTGTTTTGTTATATATATTTAATGTGCATAAAAAAATACCTTTTGATCCTGCCCCAAATCTTGTGAGCTGGTGTGCTCTCTCCCTGTACTGCACTCTTTCAGTTACACTCTTCCCAGCTATCTCCAAGAACTACAGAACTCTATGTTATGGAGAAGAGCATAGGGACGGGGTACTATAGTCCTGCCTGGTTCCTGTCATCCAAATATAGTAGGGTAGGTCAGCGTTGTCACCCTAGGACAGGAAGTGTGTTATTGGCAGGATCACCAGGTGAAAATAAAGAAAAAAAAGCCTGCAAAAAGAGAAAAACAAATGCAGCCGCCACATCTGAGGCCTGGTAAATGGCAATAGATGAAATTTTTTGTTTTGGGGTTTAGATCAGCACCCCCACCGCCTTTCCATTGTTAACCAATACGTAGTAATAGCAGGGGCGGGCAAACTCCGGCCCCCCAGCTGTGGCGAAACTACAAATCATGCATCTGCCTCTGGGAGTCATGCTTGTGGTTGTCAGAGTCTTGCAATGCCTAATGGGATTTGTAGTTTCATCACAGCTGGAAGTCCAGAGGTTGCCCACCTCTGCTCTGTAGAGGTCTAGAAGTACTAGAGGACAGATAATACAACTTGTTTTATGCCCAGCGCCCTCTAGTGGATTCGCTGCAGCAGTGTATGTCTAATGTACGTACGTCAATACCTTGAAAAGCCAAACAATTACGCATGCTGTGCTTTGAGATCTCCTATTCATATGTCAATGATCGATTTAGAGGCAAGTTCTCCCAGGGCCATTTTGAGAGATGAAGTTTTCCATAGATCAGGGGTAGGCATCCTCGACACTCCAGCTATGTTAAAACTACGAGTCCCATGAGTCCTTGCAAGAAGGAGAGCAAGTACAAGCAGTCAGGGATCAGTGATCGCTGAGTGTTTTTAGATAATTGAGGACAGAGTATGGTTACTATATCCTCAATTATGAATGAATGGGAAGTGATCTACATCACCTCCTGTTCATTCATGAGTGTGGTTATAGTAAACATACTCTGTCCTCATAACCAATCATTTTCTTGACGTTACCCTAAGGTGGATTCTGATTGGCTGCTATAGGTTGTTAATCTCCCCCTTTTGCTCTTTTGAATAGTCCTGCAGCTGCTTTTGTGTTAACCTAGGAAAGGAAAATAGTGCCTCTGCTCCATTATTTTATTTTTGGAATAGTGTAGGATTAGGCAAGAAAGCAAAACTATAGTATTAAACAGGGAAACTCTGAAGAGAAAAATAAACATATGCTTCATGTCAGCACAATGTTTGTTTCCCTACAAGCACTCTGCGTTGACAAGTGTGTCCCTTTAAACTTGGCCCTCTTCCCGGTAATGCAGCTTGGAAGCTCCTGCAATAGGAGGGAGAGCTGAGCCAATGATTCACATTCTGCTACACTCGGCTGAGCTGAACGTCCAGTGCAACTGCTGGAACCCACTACAGGCAAGCCATAGACTTTGTAAAGTGGAACTCCTCTTGTGCAGAAGAACAAAAACAACAGTCATTTCCAGTCTGTTTGTATATTTGTACACATTGTATCGATAGGAAAAGGATACAATGCTCTGCAACCGTGTACCTCTTATCAGACTATAAAAGTGTTGATGTCGCTTTAGTTTATTGATGGGAATGGATCACCTCTTTCATTCTTCTGGATACACATTAGAAATAGAATAGCATTATGTAAATCATTGTATTAGAATGTCTCAATGTTAAGCAAAGGGTTGTTTCTATGTATAGTTTGTAACTATATACTATGGGGGAATTTATCAAAATGTGGAACAGCCGTGCACGGCAACAAATCAGCTTCTATCTTTCATGTGCAAATCTTAAAGGAGAACTATGACATGAGTGATTTCCACTCACCTCATAGTTCTAAGCCGACCTGTGACAATGAGACTGTCACAGGTCGGCTCAGTAGATCGGGAGGTGAGGGAACACATACCGGGTTCCCTCACCTCTCGATCCTGTCACGGCTCTCTGCCGTGACAGGGGGAAGAAGCTGATTGGTTGCCATGCACAGATGGTCCAGATTTTGTTATGATCAATTCCACCCTATATGTCTATGGGAGCGGCCATATGTGCCTCTTACATACTCAGACGGTGCTGCTTATTACTTCATAGTGCTACACAACAGCTGAGCTATACTTCTCATAATGCAAGTCTGTGATATATATATATATATA